CCTTTCCTTTCCTTTCCTTTCCTTTCCTTTCCTTTCCTTTCCTTTCCTTTCCTCTTTCATTTCCTTTTTCCTTTCCTTTCCACTTTCCTTGTCATTAACTGCCATTAAAACACTTAGAAAATCCCATTGCATAGCACTGTAGAAAGCCTAAAAGCCAGAGCTATCTGACCTTCCCCGCTCTGTTTTGTTCCAATCATCTGCCATTGTTCAGCTGGCTGCGAATGCAGCAATGTCTTCGTTCCGTGCTCAAACACCCTGGATTTGGGCTGACACCCTTGACTGTAACACTTTAAATAAAAGCATGCTTGGTGGTGGAAAATAGATAAACTCAGGTTGAGGCATGCATTTCTGAGCCTGGCGTGCGCACGGGGGTGGGGGGGGGGGGGGGGGGGGGGGTACTGACTTATGTGGTCCTGTGTGTTTACTGACATATCAAGCCTGTGTTTAGAGTCTGTCCTTGTTCATTACGTGGCTGGTTCACCTATAAAGTTCCAGCTGGGTAAATGGTCACAGCAATTAGTGTCACCCTGCTCAACCCCCTGTTATAGCTGGCCTATGCTTAGCATCACAAACAAACATCTGCCTGCCTGCTTGGTGGGCCATCAAGAGCCTTACATCTGTGTCCATACAGAATTCTAGAAGTAGACATAGAAATCTGTGCAGATGACTCGTTTCTGTCATCAGTCTTTTTCCTTATAGCTGAAACTGTTGTCCCCTCATGTCACTTTTGTCTTCTTGTTCCATCTAGGAAGAACGTTGGTGAAAAGCACAGAAACCAATGACATTCGTGGCTGAGGAATTTCCATGGAACAAACAGAGCATGGGAACTGACCGGGACAGCTGCTGCCCCTGATGAGCCTGCCATGCTCCCAAAGCACCTTCTGGGGTCCAGAGTGAAACGGTGCACCTGGGTGCTTGTAGAGGACTCTTCGAGGGGCTGGAGGGGGCTGGGAAGATGGGGGCGAATATGGAGCAAACGTTTCACAACCCGAACCTCAGAACTGTGATCCTCCAAGAAGAGAGCTACTTGAAGAAAAGAAAAAAAAAAAAAAAACAAAACAAAACATAAAACAAAAACAAACAAAATCCACAAACGTTAAATGGCTTCTCAGGGATTGTTTTCTGTGTACACATGAGCCATAGCTCTGGTCCAGGTGGCAGTATTTAGAGCACTCAGATTTCAGTTCTGTTCAATGTGAAGGAGGGATCAACTGACATTCATCGCTGTTCGGTAACTAGTGTAAAATATGTATATGTTAATCTTTATTTTTATAATATGCAAATACATTTAAATTTATACAGTTTGACGCTTCTAGCATTAGTTGACACTGGGTGCAATATTCTTCATGAGAACTGTGCCAAGATGGGGCTGGTGTCTTCTTTTAGTGTTAGACTTTTTGTTCTTTTCGTCATCCTTTAGCCCGCCTTCTCAACTGAAAAGGAAAGGGAAGCTAGCCTCTTCCTGTCAGGCCACACATAGGTTCAGTGTTGGTTCCTAGGACTCTCTAATAATCTCCAGGAACGTTCAGCCTGTTGAGACAGAGAACCCCCTCCCAACTTTTCATCACACCGCCCTGCTTTTCAGTCACTGGACACGGTGGTAGAATAGGTCCTACCCTCTCCCCACACACCAACAGTGCCGGGGCAGAGGGAAGCATTCCTAGGGACCAAACGGGGTGAAGGATCCATGAACGCCTGAATCGTGGAACAATCTGAGATCCTGTGAGTTCAGTTCTGAATCTCGAGGTGATTCTACTGTTATGTACCCCGTTTTTCCACCAGGCTCCCCTGGAGCAGTGCGCATGATTTAGCAGAGCCCTGCACAAACCTCTGAACCTCCGGATCTTAAAGCGTCCTTTCTCGAAACTCCGTCCCGCATTGGCTGTTTATTCATTCAGAGCCAGTTGGAGGATATCTGCTACCAGGATCTGGTAGCGCCCTTGTTTTGAAAGCTCCAGGAGGTAAATATTTAAAAACAACCCCACTCCACCTCCTCCAGGTTGCTCTCCTGTGTCCTCCTAGTTGGGGCCAAGCAGCATATGCTACAAGTCTAGTAACACATCCTTCTGAAGAAGGTAAAGGACTCTGTTTCCATCGACAACTCTGTGTGTTGACAGGAAGCATGTAAACCTTGATGGTTCCCCACAAGAAAAGTGAGTCAGCTGGGCTTCCTTGTCCACTTGTTTATAAAGTATTGACTCTTTGAATGCCAAGGCACCCACGGTCACCACCAGTTCTTAATTGAAGTTCAGGCAGGCAGCTGCACTGTGAGAAATTACAACCCAACTTGTGTTGAATCTGCCCTGTGGGCTTCACTGCCCCGAGAGGCCCATTCTGAAAAGGTGATTTCTTGGAAATCCAAATCCAGTGGGGGATTGTCTCTTTTTGTGTTTTGAGTACTTGAATAGTCCAGAAACTCCAGTCGGAGATTTCTTTTTTCCTTTTAGAACACAGGCGCAGGCTGGATCGGAATCTGGTTGGTCTCTTTTGTCACAGTTCTCATGTGTGTGTGCGGGCGCAAGTGTAAAGTGAAGGGTTAATGTTTTTTTTCTCACTTTACAGACCACTGAGCTATTGGGCGATAGGTTTTCTTTTTAATTGGCATCAGACAGTTCGGAAACTGTCCAACCAACAAACATTGACCGGTCTTATGTCCTATGTGACTTTGGGCTTGCTCCCCAGAGGCTCTTCCGGCGAGCACCCCCTGCAGGTGGTTGCTGTTTGCATGAGTGCAGATGCCCGTGTTCTGAATATCTGCTACTTTTTTTTGACAAGTGATGTTTTGTGTTGTCATCTGAACCCTAGAGAAGCAGTGTAGATGAGGGAACCTTGGTCGTCATACGTGTTGTGGCCAGGGTCGGCACGGTCAGAGGGTCGTGTGCCTGAAAAAGCTCCAGCGAAACGTGAGAACTGACCTCAGTGCGTGGGGGAGGGTGGAGATACAGAAGCCGCTCTGCTCACGAGGAATTTCGGCCTCTGCATCGGAAGTTCCCGTTCCCTGGTGTCACACACCCGGGAAGCCTCAGCCGCCACAAGCTGAGGGACCATCCACTAAGCACAAGAGGAGTTCCTTCTCCCCTCCGAGCCCCTGGCCTCTCAAAGGCTCTCCAAGTTTGTTATGGTTTCTATTCCTGCAACTAGTGGCATCCAAGCCACTTCCTGGGATTGTAAAAAATGCTGCCAGAATAAATGTTTTCCCCTTCTAAGGAAAAAAAAAGAAAAAAAAAGACAGTGCTCATGTTTGACACGTGCACTGGACTCTTTCGAATGAATAAAGAGGAAGGGCTCGACGTGATTCCAATGGAGTGTGTGTTTTTCATGCTGCCGTCTGTGAATTGTAATTGTGGTTTCCCAGTTCATTGCCCTAACAGGGCAGAAATTAAAAAAAAAACAAAAACAAAAACAAAAACAAAACAATAAAAAAACACAATGAAATGGTTAAGCCAATGGTAGCTCCAGCGTTAATTATTTCTGGATTGGTTTGCTTTTTGTTTCAGTTTTATCAGTTAGCAGGAGTAACTGTTTTGTACTTTTTAGCTCAAGTGTTCAAGTGCAAGCTGGGGGAAGTGGAGCCAGCTGCTTTTGTCTGTTTGGGGCTTGCATGCGCAAAGCGGGGGTGGGGGGTGTATGAAATGAAAGGGCCACCATTTTAATTGTTTTTCATCGCATTCACTTTATTTGGGAATGTGGCGGGAATGTTGGTTCACTCCATTTACCATATAGGTCCCAGGGATCACACTCAGGGAGACAGGCTTGGTGCCCGGTGCCCACTGAGCCATCTCCCTGGCCCATGTCTCTCTTCAAACTCCTCTTTTGAAAGACTGCTTTTGTCTTTTGGGGCTGTGGAGGCTGAACCCAGAACCTTGCACATACCAGGCAAGCATCCTGCCACCGGCTGCACCCCAAGCCAAGCTGTCCGTCCGTTAAACTGGGTTCTTTTTGCAGTGAACCATTGCTCTTCGAAATTGGAGCCTATTGATGTGGAATGGTTTGGAGGTTCCCATTTTCTCTCTTTCTTTTAAAGGCTGGCTCATCACAGGAGTCCTGCCATAGCTTGTAAAATACTGTCTAGGAACACTCTGGAAGGCTGAAATTACAGATCCCTGATGACCTGCTCAAAGCTCTGTTTCTTCCTGTCTGCTTGTCTGTTTAAAAAAATAATAATAATAAGACATGGAAAGAAGAATACATGAAAACCAGACAAACCCAAGCCCTGGGTTAGAGGACCTGGCATATAGAGACAGGACCAGCTCAGCCGGGAATGCTCTCCCCTAAAAAGTTCTGAAAAGGAAAGCAAGGCAATTGGGTACCCTCATATCTGAAAGCACCAGAGATGAAACAAGAGGTGTGCTTCTGGCGGGGTGACGTGCCCTCACAGCAGGGCCCGGGCAAGTTCTGACACCTGTCCCTGCTGCCGCCTGCCTGCTCTGCTCGGGGAAAGCAGAGCAGAGTTTGAACATATGTCAACTATTTGCACCTGGGTTTTATCACGACACTTGGAGTTCTTTAAACTTGCTCAGCAGGTCATACAGCCACGTAGGTGTCAGTGGTGAGAACTAGAAGCGCATTAGTTCTCAGTGATCGGTCCCTACTAGGGCTGTTTCGCCCACCTCAGTGAGAGCTTTCTGAAGTATATACCAAGTTCACGGAACTTCAAAGCCATCGTAACCTACCACATGCAGGGAGGCAATGTCTGCTGAACCCCAGTGCCAAGGGGACCGTTCCTTGCCCGTGACTGCTGTTTGTTACCCAATGATGGCGTCCAGTGGGTCAGGCAATGAGGGAACCTGCTTTGTGGTGTGTACGAAGGGGCTGTGTGTGTGTGTGTGTGTGTGTGTGTGCTTGCGAGGTCTGGACAGGGGCAGGGGGATGGGGATGGTTTGGAAGGCACATGACAACATAAGAAAGTGTTCCTGGTAATAGAACCCATTTTAACTATTTGTGGTTCCTTTCAGAGAAGAAATATCTTTTATTTTTATATACAAGCAATAGTTCTTAGCGAAGTGAAGATCATTCTAAATACTGAACCTAAATGAATGTTTCCCAAGCTGGTCCTTGGAGTCACTGATTCGTCCATTGCCAACACATAGCCCCAGTGGGCTCCAAGATCCAGACACTTTAAGGAATGTTGTGTTAAATACAGCAAATGAGGCTTGGTTGCGGTCCTCTGAGGACCTTCTAGACATTTAGAATTAGAGACCAGATGTGTGTATGTTTTTGAGTGTGGAAGGAAGCCTTGCAAGATGGTGTGTGGATATGGCCTAAATCAGTTAAAGATCTCTGGGAGAATGAAACAGACAACATGAATGTGAATTAAGAAGGGGGGGGGGGGGGTTGGAGTGACTTGGGGGATAGGTAGTCCAACTGTCTGTCCGCACACTGGGGAGACTGAAATCTGGTAGCTGGCTTGTCCACAGAGTCGGATGTCTTTGCAGTCCCAATCTGGCACTGGAGGCCTGGGGGATTCCTGGAGAATCAATGGTCTCCAGTTCACACCAGAAGGCAGAAGGATCCAGATTCTCTTGCCAGGGAAGGATAAACACACCCACAAGGAAGAAGCCAAGGCAAGGCCTGTTGTGTGAACCTCTTGGTATCAGGGCTGCTGAAGGAAGGTATCCATTGTGGGGACAGGGGGTGGGGCTGGGGGCTTCCCCTCTCATTTAATCCCTCCTTAAAATGGCCTCACAGACCCAATCAGAGCTCGCTCTTAGTTGATTCTGAATCTGTTGACAAAAATCCACCATCACCCCCCCCCCCACCCAAGACCAGCGTTTCCAAACTGTGGCAGATGACCTGAGTGGGTTTGAACTTAGACACTTCTCTCTTTCATATATATAGATGAATGAAATAGGACAGGCAGGAGGTTGTCCTCCAGGCTGCCTCTCAGGCCTGCCTCTACCATCTGTCACGGTGTGCCTCGATTTTCTTGTGTAAAAATCAAAGGGATTTTTACATCACATAGTTACTATGATTATTAAATGAGATGCTATGTGTAAAGTACATATGACAGCAAATGCAAATCAGGGATGCTTACTCTTATTCCTGTACATAGTTCCCTGTTACTGCATGGGAAACGGGCTTCTAGAACTTTCCACAGGATCGGACTAGAATTTTTGACAAGTTTTGTTGTTGTTGTTGTTGTTTGTTTCCATTATATTGGTTAATTAGCTGTTTGTACTAGTGATAAAATGGTTTTGCATAAAAATAGTGCATTAAAAAATATACTCTGGGACTGGAGAGATGGCTCAGAGGTTAAGAGCACTGTCTGCTCTTCCAGAGGTCCTGAGATCAATTCCCAGCAACCACATAGTGGCTCACAACCATGTATAATAAGATCTGGTGCCCTCTTCTGTCATGCAGATGTACATGCAAATAGAGCACTCACGTGTAAAATAAAGAAATAAATCTTAAAAAAAAAAAAATATATATATATATATATATATATATATATATATATATACTCTGTGTTGATATATATATATATATATACTCTGTGTTGGTGCTAAGGACTGAACCTAGGGCCTCATACGTGCTAAGCAAGCATCCTACCAGTAGGCTGCACCCCAGAAACACTTCAGTGTAAATTAGAAAGAAAAAGCTATGTGAATGAGTGCAGATGATGATACAGAAATATAGGAAAAAATGAGAATGCTTTCCAAAGTTGAGAAACTGCTTATACAAAAGCACAGTAAGGGCCAATGGCCTAAGAAATCTGTCCTGTGTTCACATAGCTCACAGAAAGTCCAGGCAGTTTGTCTCCTTGTGTCTTAAGGGACTCTGAAAGCTTTTAGAGATATTTTTCCCCAGCTTAAATTTTCCATCAGAAAGTTTGATTAAAAGAATTTTCTAGATGTGTGTTGTAAAATCACTTCCTAAGTTTAAATTTTAAGGTATGTTTAGCATCTTTGAGTCCCGTTTTAGCATAGTCAACTCTACTTCACGTAATTCTGAAAACGAGAGGCATTCATTTGATTTGTGAAAACTCGAATTTTTTAAGGAAAACATCCTAAGTATATACTATTTCTCTGAATGTATATCTTGCTGAAGAGAGACGGAAAAAAGCGAAATCACGTAACAGAATCATTGGACGTGAAAACAAAATCTGACTAGTTGATTTGGCGCAATGGAAAAGAACAATTTGCTTGGATTCCTTTCATGCTCAAAGGCTGAGGAACCACTGGATGAAATGAAGCTGCATACAGGCCTCTGCACATACATGGGTCCATGCCTATGGAGGTCCATGGGATTGTGTGATGCCTTAGGAATCACTAACTATATCTCGCCAATCACTGAGCTGGGCTTCCCGGAATGGCAGAGGAAATTCTTGCTGTCATATGAGGGTTACAAGGAAAACCTGTTTTCAAAGAAAAAGCGAAAACAGTCACTTAGAATCTTCAGAAAATTTCCTCAGGGCCTAGGGCATATGGAGGAACATTTGTTCAAGAAAAATGAAGGTTAAGTCCTCCCTAACCACATGTTTGCATCCATGAATTCAGCAGTAAAACTTGTAAGAAAATCAAGTATCGTGAGCATGCATAGACTTATTGTTCATCACTACTCTCTAAACAGTGCTGTGTAATGGCTGTTTATAGTGCAGATACATATCATCAGGTATGAGTAATCCAGAGGTGATTTCAAGCAAGTGGGAGGCAGGCAGCTTATATACAAGTGTTAAGCTGTTTTACACAATGCTTCAACATGTTAGCATGCTTAAGCATTCATGGATTTGATGTGCAAGGGTGAACCCTGGAACTCTCCCCCAGTATTCTGAGGGGTTCTTGTGCTAAACATCGATAAGAATAGCCAGTGTTGATAGCATTTGAGACTGCCCTGACCTTCTTTACCTCATTTATCCCCTAGCTCTAAGCTCCCTAAGCACAGTCCCAGCCCCTGTTTCCAGCTGGATTCCAGAAGGTTGAGAAATTGACTTGTGGCTTTGTCTCTCATTTCTCCTGCTTTGGACCAAGAATAAAAGTTTTCTAAAATGTTCCATGGGTGTTGATTTTATTGGTTCTGTCACTCTGAGGAAAAAAAAAAAAAAAGGACCAGGTTTGGGAATAAGAAATGATAACAGATTAATTTAATGATTTTTAATTTTTCTACAAAGAAAAGACCTGGACAGGTGGCTTCACTAATAATATCTGCCAAACATTGAAAGAGCTACATGCTGGCTAATTTATGCCAACAAGCTATCGATATCTGGAAAGAAGGAAAAATCAAATTGAGAAAGTGCCTCCATTAGATCTGCCTGCAAGGCATTTTCGTAATTAGTGATTGATGGGGGAAGGCCCTGTCCATTTTGTGTAGTACCATCCCTGGAGGGTGATCCTGGGTTCTATAAGAAAGCAGACTGAGCAGGCCACAGGGAGCAAGCCAGTAAGCAGCACCCCTCCATGGCCTCTGCATCAGCTCCTGTCTCCGGGTTCCTGTCCTGTTTGAGTTCCTGT